TTACATTGGTCCATTCCACGACAAAGTTGATCACACCTTCATCAAAAATCAATTATCATGAGGTTCTGCTTTAGAGCCTATTTTTGTAGGATATTTCAGTCTAAGAAGCTTGAGAACAATAACGTGCTTTGGTGCACATACCACCCGATTTGGTTCTTTTTTTATACACTTCGATTAATGTTTTATTTAAATGCTTTTTTCCATAAAAATTATCATTCGAAAAATCCTCATCTTCATCCCCTGAAAGCTCAGATTCTGTTTTGCGTTCGCTCTCAATATACGATATGACTGTTCAGAATCATAGTATTAAAAATTAGAAAAAAATATTAACAAGATCATCGATTTCTTTTTGAGTGAGGTATACGGGACGCTTCCTTGTAAAATTTGAAGCAGTATTTTTCACTTTTGCGATAAACGAGCATCCGATAAATAGCGTTAATCATTCACAAAAACTGGTAGGCATATGCTCTGAGCTGTCTACCAGACCGATTAAGAAAGGAAACACGCGGTAACTAAAAAATAATGAAGCTAGTATTGTGAAACTGGATATGATTTGGCTGATTGTTTTAGGAAGATAATAGAAAGGGTAGTGATCGCTTTCAATTTCTAGTGGTGAAAACAGCAACTAATAAATGCTGTGCGGTCTCTCAGACCGCTCACAGCAGTTAAAGGTTAAACATACATCAAATTAAAGTAACTTTTCCAACTCACATCGTTAAAACTAAGGAGATGGAACTCAAAATAACTTGGCGATAAATATTACAATTTGGCAAAAATATATATGTATATAAAACTTCAAGAAGCACTTACTAAGCGAAAGGCTGTCGTTGCTATGGAGATCAAAAGAATTATAAGGTAGGCGTAATTATCTCTGCGAGATCGCATTTCTTGGAGAAGCTTCTGATAATTCTATCTAGACTTAACAATTACAAATAAATTTTTAATGTTCTTTAAATTGCAGCCAGAGAGATTTAAGGTATAAAAGAAATTGTTTAGATGGTTATGAATTTAAATATGAATCTAGGACTAAAATATATCCAAAGATTATAAAAATAGATAACATTTATTTAGCGAAATGCGGATAATGATACATAGCGATAAGAGAACTGTCTTTATTTACACTCTGATGTCATAATCTTAATGTCCCATTGGCACTCACGCTTTTATTACCAATTAAATTAATTAATATAATAATTATATATAATTAAAACAATTATTTTATTACCGAATTAAAATAATAAGAAATAAAACTTATGCACCGTTTTCTATTGCTTCAAGAAATATTTCTGCAAAATTTGAAGGAAATCGAACAACGCATTTGGCCGTAACCGCGTAACAAACAAATTTACAGACAGAAAAAGTGCTAAATGCTTGAGTTAAAACGTAGACTTCGATTCGCTCGGTCAAAAAATAATTATTAAATTAATTTAAGATTAAATTTAACTAAATTATTAATTAATTGCATAATAGACTTTTATTTATTTATAGTATAATATTAATTAAAATTATAATCTTATGGAAAGCAGATTAATGAATTTGAAGAACAGTCTTCTAACTTCAATGTTTCAAGAAAGCACCATATTATTTTAAAATGTGCACATTAGAGTGGATTAGCGAATATCGATCAACAAATTTTCTTTTTTTTGCATAGATATTTGTCCAGTAGTAATAAAACTTTTATCATTTATTTTACGCCTTTACTGATTGAAAATGTTGACCTTTACATCGACTTTTAACTACATACACTTTTTAAAATAAACATGTCCCTGCAACATACATCGATTGAAGCTGAAACCTTTCGCTACCCATTGAATGAAATGCCAGAAATCCAAAGTTGTTTTGAAGAAAAGGTTCCGCATAATTAAGGAGATTAGACTTTTTTGTTCCTTTGCAATATAGCTTTCTTTTACTGAAGTCTCAGTTTGAGCAAAAGAAGTGAAATTTTGTTTTTCTTTCTTTCTCCTGTTTGTTTCGAAATATTGTGAAACGAACAGGAGGAATTATGCGTTATTGTTATTCTTAAATTATTGACATCAATTCGTGTTTCTTCTTCTGCATATAAAGTAAGACGGAGAAATTCTTGGATAATGGTTATCAATTGAGTCAAAAAGAATGCATTTAGGATCAAAAGGAATGCATTTAGGATCAAAAGGAATTTAATGAATAATTATAAACGTCGAACAAATGCTGCGCGTTGATTGAAGAATCTGCCTCGATGCAGCCGCTGGTTGCTTAAAAATTATGAAATTCAAAGTCCCATAACTCAGTCAGTTTTAGTCTCGGAGGAGTGGAACTAATTGTTATTAAAAATATTAGTGTCAAGAATATTTCACTAAATTAGTTACTGTAAGGACAGGGGGAATGTATAATAATTCAGACTTCTTAATTCTCGAGCAGTATATTTATGTACCGAAAAAGTATAAAATGGAATTCTTTATGTAATTTAAATCAATTTTCCAATTGGTAGCGTATGTCTTTCTCCAACAGTTTAGAAATAAGCTATTAGGCCCCATTACAGTGGACACTCTGTATAAAGATTCTTAAGCGAGAAGTAATATCTATAACAGGATATTTTTGAACCATAAACATAAACTGCTACCGTCCGTTGACCGAAAAGGCGCATGAAGCTTTTTTCACAGAAGGACCACAGATACCTAATTAGCACAACATGCTGCACGATATTGCACAATATTGATCGATATTATATAATATTATATTTTAGTTAGTAGTTATTTTGTTGTATTATATATAATATAATATAAAATTTTTGTTAGATCTCTTGTGTGCTTTTGCGCAGTTTTGGCAATGCTTATTGTCTCTGTATTTTAGTTTGTAACTGTTCGGTTTTAAATGCTATTGATTTTAATTTGGTTATCTTTATTTTTTGTATGTGTTTTGCGTTTTTAATGTTTAGTTTTTTGCGTCTTTGCTCTTTGAAGTTTTAGCGTTTTGTGTTTTTGCTCTTAATACTTTTTTGCTTTTGTTCTTAATCTTTTTGTGTTTTCAATGTTAAGCTTTTTGTGTTTTTGTTTTTTATCTTCTGGTGCTTTGTGTTTTGCTCTTTATCTTTTTTTTTTAGTTTATTGTTGTAAACGATGATTTTTAAATTGTTCTGCTCACCCCTTGGGATTCTTTGTAAATTCTTTTTTTAATGTAATTCCTTTCTTTTGTTCTATTTTTCCCCTCCGACCTGTGGTAGGCCTTACACCCTCTTGGGTAGGCTGGAACGAAGCGGGGTGTAAATAAATAAATATAATATTATATGGTATTGTATAATGCTATACAATATTGCGAATATTGTTCACTATCGTATAATATTAGCAATATTTTAGTGCTACTGGGATAATTGTACTGTTACAAAAATTGTCCTGTGGGTGTACGTGAATGCAGACTAAGAGGCAGGATAATAAAAAATAAATGACTCTTTTTTCCACAATGCTTTCAGCAGAAACACAAACGTTCCACAGGAAACAAAACCAGATATCTCTTGTACAAAATTATAACAGCACCAATAAATCTCAGACACAGCTCTTTCAATAGTACTCAGATGTTTTACTGTCACCAGCTTGTTTGCTGATCAAAGTCCGACTGACAACTCTTGGTTTGAGAGCTGGCTTTTATATATTTTTAACAGAAAGTGACGTCATTACATAGGAAGTGATGCAATCTTTCGAAGATTTATGAAATTAGTGGCTCCCAGTAGAGATAGGATAAAAGTTCAGGATTTTTCTAGAAAATTCCTTTTGTCGCCAAGTCCCCCAAATCGACGCAAAATTTATCGTCAAGATTAGCATGTCAGGGCTACCTTACAGCTTTGTAAGAATACATAGGTGGAAAGGAGACACATATACACATGCATATCAAGGATGAACTAATTATGGAGAAGCACGCCAAAAAAGACTATGATATTACAAAGCGGAAAAAGCAGACGAGAAAAAATTGTGATATTACAGATCTTTTAATTAACTTCAGCATGAACAAAATTTAATGCTACATACTTTATCAATGATACCTCGCATCGTGGATGTAAAAAGCGATCCATACTCTAAATAAATTCCATATTTCTTTGTATTAAATAGTATTTTTTGCGCATTGAATTTTTAAGCCTTTCGTGCTTTTTTTTTTATTCCTACACCACAAGCACCACATTCATTAATGTCTAAACAAGTTACGGAAAAGAAAGGGGACACTTTTTGTATGCCAAGTTAATTTTATTAAACTATGAAAAGAAAAAAATTCTCTCAGGGTTTGTTATCAAAATTGTGTTCTCTTTCACAAGCAAACTTTGAAGTTGATCGCCGTAATAAGATTATTAAAACTCTTTTCTGATCTGAAAGAATATAATTAATTTTCCTGGTCAAAACAACGAAAAAACAGCGTGTTAAAAGATATTAATTTCTCTCGCCACAAAGATATCTCTGTTATTTGCTGGGACAAAAAAGAAAGGAAATTTAATTGAAGGGCGCCATATAATTTTTATTAATACTTTTTCTAAAATGTATGCAATTGATTAGAAATAAAATATTTTTATTTTTTAGAAACTATTATATTATTCCATTTTAAATGTTATTTTAACTTTCTTGAATGACCAATTTATAGTAATCATACGATAGTAAACATTTCCAGCAATTTCTTCAACAGTGTTAGGCATTTATCAGCAATAAAACATTTAAAGGAAATATTTACAAACAGTGAGTAACTAGGGGCCTGTCAACCCCTCTATTTCCAAGAGAATCCCTCTCAAGATATGGCGCGCTTGAGTATAGCTTCGAAGAGAGAGATTAGATGCTTGAATCTCTTCCTGTTAAAATAGTGGATACAAAATATGGTGTAGATATACAATTTTGATGACAAGATAGTGCGACAAATTCCATTTACTTCACTTGATGTGTTTTTGACTTAACTTGATCACATAATTACGAATAGACAAATAGACCGTGGTCAAACATTTTATATACTGTAAATATGAGAAAACAATATGCAATTATTTTGATATTAATAGCGTCGGCCGGGAGTCGAACCCGGGTCAAGTGTTTGGGAAACAGTTATTCTGACCGTTTAACTAACGACGGTCGAAACTTCATCAGAAATTATAGTCAAAATATCTCATTTCGCTTTTCAGTTTAATAATTTATCGGAGGGAGGAGAATGTAAAATAGTCGCTTAATGTCTTGTTTATTTCATACTGATGTAACTGCGTCGGCCCGGAGTCGAATCCGGGTCAACTGTTTGGCAAACAGCTATTCCGTTCTGACCTTTGAACTACCGACGCGCGAAACGTCTTCAGAAATGATAGTAAAAATATCTCATTTCTATTTTCATCTTTATAATTTATCGGAGTAGCTGCAGGTAAAATAATCACTTCATGTGTTGTTGAATATCGTGCTTGATTCAAATTGATATATTTAACCTTATGTCAAATTTCATCTATCTAACTTGATGTGTTTTTGTCTAATTGTATTCATATTTTCTTCCTACAAACCAATTTTGTCCACAATTTCACAGATATTAAAGATTTTTGTGTTAAGTTAAAATTTCATTAGTTCAATTTTGTCTTTTTTTTGCCTTATTGTGTTTGCAAACCCAAGGATAATTGCAAAAGTAATCTTTTAATTTTCTGAGTTTAGGGGTGATTCGTAGATGTCTAAAACTAAATATTAGTCAAAATTTTGAGTTGAATTTTTTGAAGATTACAATACTTTCTCTCTGTATACTTTGCATACGAGAAAACTTAAAAAATTTGCTCAGGCCATGAAAATTGAATACAAATTTATCGAAATATTAAATAAATATGCGTGTAATATCTTATTTTCTATCAGAAGTGCTTCCTTTTTTCATCGCAACGGAATTATGAACATTTTTTTCCTGATCTGAAGGAATGCACTTATTTTTCGTGCTGAAAGCAGTGAAAGACTGAACGATTAAATATATTACTTTTTTGCTCCTCCAAATACTTATGTTTTATTTTTCATGGAACTATCGGCACTCTTTATTTATTATAAAGGTGCTTGTATAATTTAGTTGTACTGGTATATTTCATCAAATTGCATTTGTTTTCATAGATGCATCGCACGTTAAATGTTTAATATTCACAATTACAATAAATGAAGTACGTCCAACGGGCACATATAAAGTGTTGAGAAAAAAATGAAAAAGTGTATTTTTGAATGGCCCTGACATTTTCTGGTGGAGTTCATACAACAGTAAACTCCAGGGAATAAATCTAATGATTAGAACTATATACAAATGTTCATTTCTAATACAGGCTAACTAAAGAGCATTAATTATCAAAATAAATGATCATTTCGGTTTAAGAAAGCCCGGGAAATTTTCAAACTTTAAACTAAACGTTTTTATATGTGCCATGTGACCAATGTATTAGGTTAGATGCTCCTAAAAACCCTTACCATATTTCATTCATCATGGTACATCTTTTGGTTATAACAGTAATATTAGGCATTTGTCTTATGTTAAGAGCACAAATACGTAACTAGCAGAATACTCTACGTATCTAGGAATTTTTTTTTCTTATCCAAACTTTATGGGAGACAGGAAACAGAAAAATGATACTTTGAATAGTATAGCATTTATTATCTTATTGGCGAAATTCTAATAAAATAATTCTCAAATCTAAAGTGTAGTAATTTTCTTTCTTTTTCTTACATAGTGTAATGAATTTCACCTTTCTTACACTGGTAGAGTATTGGATATTTTTTTTTCTTTCTACGAACGCTGCATACAAAACCCTGATGCTAATTGGTCCATTCGTTTAACGTTTTTCAATGAATCTCTTCCATACAACCCAGAAGAAATCATTAGCTAAGACTCATATACCATTGCTGTATTTTCAGTTGAACAATGAGAAATTTGCTTATTAAGCTTCACCACTTTGCTCCAGCATTTCTGAATAAATATCTATATGCATCAAGCATAATTATCATTCTAAATGGTTCAGAGGAGAATATTAAACCTCTCCATAATTTTAGCTTGATAGGTTGAAACATGTTAAATAAATTTCATGTCAATTATACAATTATTATTATTTTTAAATGACTCTCTCTTAACCTATTCTGAAAAGGTGGGTAGAGGTTCATTTCTTCTTCAGTGTTTTCAGTCGAACAATGAGGAACATGTATAACAAGTTTTATTGAAATCGCGACAGCTTTTCGGAACTTACAGTGGAACACACAAACATCCATACGTGTCGATTTTTACGTATTTATAGAAAATAAAATTTATTTTGTCATTCATTTTCTGTAACTCTATCTCATTTATGTCTCAATGTTCTCTCTGTGTTCATTTTTTTTTTACTCTGCAATTAATTTTTATCTCTCCTGTGCACTTTCCGTTTTTTAGGAACTTGATTGTGTATATATTTAACTTTTTAATCCTTGCTTTTTTCAAATCGTTTTTTGATTTAGTGTTTTAATTTTTTAAAAATGTGTGTGTTTTTATGATATTAATGAGACGTGGACTTTTGGAATCTTAGTGTGTCTTTTAATGTTTTTGTGGTTGAATGTTTTCGTTTTAAATAATTTATGCGTTTACATTTTTACAATTATTATCATTTTGTGATTTGAACTTTTGTACACTCTGCATTCAACTTTTTTTCTAATGCGTTTTTTAGTACCTTTGTGATTCACTCTTTGTGGTTCGTGTTCTTTGTATGTTTGTTGTTCATTGCACACTGTAAATGGAGTTTTTTCTGTAGTGTGCTTTTCTTTAAATAAATAAATAATCTTTCTTATTATTTTAAGCTACAGATTATTTTAGAAAATTTAACTACAGGAAGGTAAACTAGAAATAAAAAGTTTCGTTTCTCTATGTAAGTGAAAATTTGATTTCTATTCCGAATTTAAAATTCATGCATATATTTTGTTCTTCGTTTCACTCCGGTTAATTTAATAGTTATAAAATATTCAATTGCAGTGAGCTCCGCCTGAGATAGTGTTTCATGCTATATCTACACTTTTCAAAGCAGAAATATTACACTAACATAACATGTTTTAAATAAAATTCCATTAATTCAAGAGAACTTAATGCATTATTAATACTGCACTGTTGATGCAAATGATTCGTCCTATTTTCTACTTTTCCCTACAGTGTTTCGGTCCTTTTATCATCAAGAAAAGTATGCGCATCAGATGTGAAATAAGCGTTGTGTGGTTTTTAACTAATGTAAAAAGAAGTCATGTGCTCGTAGGCTTTACTCTTTTGCATTTTTGGGTCACATCCACCTTATTCATTAATGTCTAAACAAGTTTAAGAAAAAGGCAGATACACTTTTTACTACCATGTTAATTTTACAAAACTGTGAGAAAAAAAAAAAGAAAACTATTTTTTAGGTCCTGTTATCGAATTTTCCGCAGTTTCTTTCATCAGGTTACTTTGAAGCTGATCGGTGTAATATGATTATGAAAAATACTTCCTGATCCCAAGAAATGTGATTAGCTTCCTTTCTTAGCAGTATCTCTGTTCTAAGAAGAACGGTGAGACATACTATTTTTTTTTCTTTTCACGAAAGGCTCATTCTTTTATTTTCTGGATCTAACAAATCAATTTTAATTTCAAACTACAGATGCTTGCATTACTTTTTATTCTTATATTTCCCAAATATGCATGCTCTTATTTTGTAGATGTCGTATGTTAGGTATGCTAGAAAAAGTCTTCACTGTGTGAAACGGCAGATTAATAGAAATTGATTTTCGATGTAATCTATAAAATGAACACAAGAATCCCATCCTTTTTGTTGATGTTTATTTCAGATAGTGTTACAGTTCATGTAACAAAACGTATTGCTAAACTTAATTATGATTCACAACTAAATAGCCCGCATCTTGGAAAAGCTAATGGAACAGAGACATTAAATGAATGTAACTGTGAACGCTGACCTTCTATGTAGCGCAGAAAGGAGCTATACCAGGCCTGCCGAAGCGAAGTAAAGAACGGTCGCAACGACAGTAGTCGGGAACTGAGGACGGAGTCCTAATATTCATTAGCAGTTACGGCCGACTACCCGAAAGGAGGTACATCCCTTCATTGAAATGGAGGTAATTCCACCCCAAACATTTACTATACCCCTAGGAGAAGCTGCTTACTTATCCGGCGGTTTCTCGTCCACGTGCTCGTGGTGCCCCCTTTGGAGGATTGGCTATCGCTGTAAGGTTTACGTCGTGTCATTTTCCTTCTGCAAGATATAAAATGAGTTTCAAACGTTGCTGATGTTGAGCACTTGATGAGCATCACAAACATACAGGGTTCCCTCTTGAATAAGGGCCACCCACCTTTAACTTCAGAGCGACGACAGCTTTAGTCAGGAAAGTAGAAACGTTTATGCGCTATGCGATGCGACAACTTACAACGTCACCTGGTGGCAAACTTCGGAGTTAGCGTTTCAATCTCGAAAACGGTGGAAAATAGTGGGGAAATGACAATTACAAGGTTTTAGAGCGTTATATGTTTAGTACAAAAAAACACCTTGTGCATATTAATGCTAAGAACAGAACGCTTAAATTACTCATTTTATTGTCCGCGATTTCCGTAACTCTGACGTCACAAAACGGGTTAAAAAGAGAAAAAAAAACAATTAGTTATGACAAAAGATACCTTTAATCCCAGTGTACAAATACTCTCCGTCATCTATAATACAGATTTGAGCCAGTATTTGAATTTCACTTTGCAGACGCTTTAGCATATAGGTGTCGCGCTAGCAGAAACAACAGTAATACTTCATCGAAAGACCTGTAATGTTGTCGGAATCGTCCATACACTTGCTGCTTGAGTTATTTTAACAGGAAAAGTATAATGGGGTAATTTTTCTCCCGAAAAATAACCTTTTCTCCTTTTGTTCATGTCTTGTGATGTCACAATTTTGGAAAATACGAGCAAACAAATGCGCATTTTAAACATTTTGTTCTTCGTGTTAATGTGCACAAGGTGTCTTTTTGTACAAAATCCATAACTCTCTACAACTTTGTAATTGATATTTTCCCTCTATTTTGTACAGTTTTTGAGATAGGAACACTAACTCCGAAGTTTGCCACCAGGTGGCGTTGTAAGTTGTCTCATCGCATGCTTTCACGACTAAAGTTACTGTCGTTCTGAAAGTAAACGGAGTTGGCCCTTATTTAAGTGGGAACCCTGTATATTGTATAGCATAAAATTTCTTCACTGCCAGAAGGGAATTAATTATCAGCGTCTGGAGAAAAGCAGCATAGTTGTAATCAGATATCAATCTCAGAAGAAGAATTTCTGAGAGAGAAGAAATACTAT